GCTCCTCTATCCGTCTCCAGGCCCACATGCAGATACGCCCACATACGAGTACCCAGCGACCCCTGTGAAAGGGTCGTTCGACCCCCAAAGGGGTCACGACCCACAGGTTGAGAACCGCTGCTCTAAAGGGTCAGATTTTCTGAGAACACGAGTCAGGGAAAGACACACCTCTGTTCCAGATCTCCACTTGGGAATTCTCCTATCAGTGCTGGCTTCCTGGGAGGAAAGACAAGAGACTTGCCTCCATATGGAGTGTTAGGAGGGAAAAACCGAGGGTTTTTCAGGAAGTGGTTCCGACTTTCCATTCTGGCAAGCCGAAGTCGCTCCAGTTCTCTCTGTGGCACACCTAAATGGTTCATCCAGTTTTTATTCTTTGGTAGACTTGCTTTCTTTGAAACACAAAAAAGGACAGAGTTAATGCCAGGCAGAGGGGCTATGTGTGTTGACAACTTAGCCAACTGCATGACCCACAGATGGCCAATGCAAACTCTCCTTTCTACTGTGCTGTGGATTTATCACAACATCTTGTGTCACCTGGAACTCTTTCCCCCTCATCATCTTCCCATCCCCACTGCCCACCTACACACCGCTGTGCACAGGCTTCAACACTAACCTTGACAGTCTCTTTGGTCCTGAGTTTGGCCTTTGAAGATGAGTCCCATGTCACGCTGTCCATCGTGTAGTCTAACTCATCCTCAGGCTTAGTGAGTGTCTTCTTGCATGAAGCTTCAAACTTATTGGTCAGCTCTTTCTTTGGGATGGAACGCTTCTCAAAACTGAATGTCAGTTTTGAATACCCAGGGACCAAGGTGCCTATGGCACCAAGGAAACAAAATGAGTTACCATACCAATGTGAGGAGGTGGATGTTTCTAAGATGACTAAATAAAGCCACCAAAGCCACAGTTAGTTTGATATTTTGTCTAAACTTTCACATATATTCTACCAGATGTAATTGCTCTTCAGCATATATATGACTCCTAAAACTTATTCTATGTACTTGAGACTTAGGACTTGAGTGTTAAAATATTTGTTTGTTGTGGAACACGGTCAAAGAACATAAGTAGACCACTGTCACACACACACATGCATATACACATATCCCATATGTAAACATGCTTTTTAAAAGCTCACTCGAGGAAATCAGTTTGTATTTGCTTTTAATANTTGGGCCTGCACAACATATTGAACCAACCCATCAGTGAACCAGACCCAAGTGGAGAGCCCCATATCGTGGTTTTAATTTTCATTCCCTGTTACTAGTGATGATGAGAATCTTTTTGTATCTTTATTTGCCTTTTGGGTTTCCTCCTGCTTGAGTTGTTGGTTCATATCTTGCTCGCATTTTGCCATTGTGCACTTGGTCTTCTTATTATTAATTTGTAGGAGTTCTTCAAATATTCTGGGTACTAATTCTCTATCAGTTATGTTATAAACACCTCCAAGTTTATGACTTATCTTTTGATGACAGTTTCTAAAATTTTAATATAAAATGTATCAACTTTTATGGCTTGTGCTTCAGTTTCAAGAAATCTTTCTGTATCTCCTATATTTTCTTCTTAAATGTTTGTTCTTTTACCTTGAGGTCCTTGCTGGAAGGCATTTTGTTTGGAGTATGGAGAGAGCTGGGGGTTATTCAGCAAGGATACTAAACTCAGTTTTGTCTCTTTAGGTCTGCACATGTGCACACAACAGGCTGACCAACGGCATATGCTGTTCCCGCAGTCAGGCTGCTGTTCTCTCGGACACAGAGCCAGTTGCAGCCACTGCTGTCATTACAGATGGAGGTGGTGTTCATGGGGGCAGCTGTACTCATGTCGGCTGAGGCACGCCTCAGGAGAGCCTTGCTCCCAGCCACACAAGACAAACCTCTGAGCAATGAAAGGCAGGAGCCAGTTTATTCTGGCTTCTAGGGGACGTCCCACAAGACAAAACAGCTCATTGCGCTTCATGACAATCAGCTCGATAACACATTCTCATGGCGGCTCTCCCCTCTTCCATCCCCTTTCCTCACTCCTCCCTGGAATTGTAAAGGAGAGCACGCAGCCTCACCACCTCAGGCTCCGCTTTATGGGGAACCCGGGCTATGACAGCTGGTATCAGAAGGGTCCTAAAACTGCAGACTTGTAGGGTTTGATTCTGGAGTTGACTTTCTCACCCGTCTGGCGGTGACGAGAACTCTAGCTGGAGGGAGGTGGGGTGTGATGACCCCCAGTATGCAGTGGCCTCAGTTACACTAAGGCTCTCATCCATGGCCAACTGAAATGAGGCGCAGGGGAGGTCAGGCATTAAAATACATGGTAGCCGCGCAAGGTCTAGGGCGGCGATAATGATAAGGATGGTGGAGTGGGTTGGCTTTCCTTAGTAGCATTGGAAGCCGTGGAGGAAACGAATGATAGGCTCAGGGCAGTCAACTTAAGGCCCGTTGTGAAGCCATTCCTTGCACTCTTGGGTTACACGCAAGCTTCTCCTGATGTGTGCATGTGTGTGTATTTCTTCTTGCTTGATTTGGTTTGCTGTTTTGTACTGAGTATTTCTACACCAATGTTCTTTTCATATACCAGGGGTATCAAAAAAACGTATATAAGTGGACACTTTGGTCAACGTTGCTCAAGCAGTCATTCGCCATAATCAGAAGTGTCTGGACGCTGATGGTAACCACCACTTTGAGTACCTCTTGTAATTGCAGAAGTCAAACGTCACTTGTATTCATCTTTTGTTATCAGTATATATCGAGTGTTACAATTTTAATACAGTTTTTTCCTTTCTTAAAATGTGTATACATTTTTTTGGCATCCTCTGTATATGTATACCTACATATTTATGGTTGGACCTATGAAATTGCTATTTCTCCCCAGCTCTGTCTGATGAAAGGACCTAGAAGCGATGATATCCTAAAAGCAAATAGCAGATTTAATGCTTAGATCCTGGTTTCTAAGTACCATTCTCTACTAAAAGGAATCAAGGCTTCTTAGAAACTGATTCCACAAATGGGACAAGGAGAATACAAGATGAACCTGGAACACCTTGCAAACTAGAATGTAAGGAAGTACTCAAAAAAATCCC